ACAGCATGGCTAGGAGCAGAGCCCGACTCGGTAGGCTGAGAGCTCCGCTGGATGGCAGACTTCCCCACAGCGGGATGAGGGCTCACTGCTGCCTATGCTGGCCAAGCGGGGGCAGAGCAACAACCTATCTCTTTCCCTTGTCTCCTGATCTGTCCCATGTGGCTTTTCTCAGAAGATAACTCCGTTTGCAGTATCAGTCCTCTTTTCTTGCTAAGATAATTTCCATAATTGTGAAATATATCACTTAGGACCCAGGCGATGGTTCAGTGGGTAAAGTGTTGGCATGTAAAAGTCGGTCGGGAGGCGAAAGTCGGCTAGCCTGAATTGGGAGTGATGGTAGAGCAGATACCTCGCTGGGTCTTGCTGGGCTGCCTGGAGGGGAAACTGTGAGTGCTAGGTTTGTCGAGAGACTGTGAAATCTACCGCTAGTTTCCACATGCACATGCGGAAGCGTACTCATATATGTGCACACGTGCATACACTACACACACGAAGGGAAATATATAATTTATTTAAATTTTTTTTTGTTTATGTGTTGTTTTTTTTTTTTGAGATAGGATCTCACTGTGTTGTTCTGGCTGTCCTGGGACTAGCTTTGTAGACCAGGCTGGCCTCGAACTCACAGAGATCTGTCTGCTTCTGCCCCCCGCCCCCGGAGTGCTGATATTAAAGGCGTGCGCCACCATCGCCCAGTCTATTTTAGTTTTTTTTCATTATAAAAGATTTTATGGAAAGAAGAAGAGAAAATTATGATTAAAAAGGCTATAGTCTCACCAGTTAAAATAGACTCATTTCTAAAATTTATTTGGTATATATCTCTGTGTGAGTCTGTGTTGTATCTATGAACTGTAAGTAACACCAGGACATCAGATCCCCTGGAACTAGAGCTACAAGCAGTTGTGAACCACCTGATGCAGGTGAATCAGTAAGACCTCTCTTAAAGGAACTGCAGCATGCTGCCTCAAGCAAAGCCCAGCTTTAAAAAAATGTAGTTGAACTTTGTTATTTAATGTCTAGAATTCCTTTCCAAGCCCCTTCAGGTTTTAAGTGGATTTTAGTTGGCCATGTGGGGGCCAGTCTGTTGGAGAAGGGGGCTGCTTGTTGGTTCCTGGCCACTCGGCTAGCTTAGATATGAAATAATCACACAGAAACTGTATTAATTAAATCACTGCTTGGCCACCACAGCACTGTGAAGCCTCTGAATTTGGTTCATGGGTTCTTAGCCTTTAAAAACATCAAACATCTTTTCCTTATTCTTTGACAAGTTCATACCTGTATATAGAGTATGCTGAGCCCATCCATTCTCCATTCTCAACACTCACCTTCCACTGCTTTCTGAATTCTTAGCCCCCCAATATGTCCACCTTTGTGCTTCTCTCTCTCTCTCTCTCTCTCTCTCTCTCTCTCTCTCTCTCTCTCTGCATACCAGAGAACCTACCAATCTCTGACAAAGCCCCACCTCTTAAAGGTAGCACCACTCTTACCATTGCTGCCCTGGGTACCACGACTCTGGCACAGGAACCTTCAGGGAACAATTTACAGACCATAGCGGGTACCATTGTCTTCCTCATCTATAATTTCCCTTCAGTGTGTTCCCACACTCTTCACACTGTTGTAATTTCCCTTCAGTGTGTTCCCACACTCTTCACACTGTTGTAATTTCTCTAAAGTGTGTTCCCACACTCTTCACACTGTTGTAATTTCCCTTCAGTGTGTTCCCACACTCTTCACACTGTTGTAATTTCCCTTCAGCGTGTTCCCACACTCTTCACACTGTTGTAATTTCTCTAAAGTGTGTTCCCACACTCTTCACACTGTTGTAATTTCCCTTCAGTGTGTTCCTACACTCTTCACACTGTTGTAATTTCTCTAAAGTGTGTTCCCACACTCTTCACACTGTTGTAATTTCCCTTCAGTGTGTTCCCACACTCTTCACACTGTTGTAATTTCCCTTCAGTGTGTTTCTACACTCTTCACACTGTTGTAATTTCCCTTCAGTGTGTTCCCACACTCTTCACACTGTTGTAATTTCCCTTCAGCGTGTTCCCACACTCTTCACACTGTTGTAATTTCTCTAAAGTGTGTTCCCACACTCTTCACACTGTTGTAATTTCCCTTCAGTGTGTTCCTACACTCTTCACACTGTTGTAATTTCTCTAAAGTGTGTTCCCACACTCTTCACACTGTTGTAATTTCCCTTCAGTGTGTTCCCACACTCTTCACACTGTTGTAATTTCCCTTCAGTGTGTTTCTACACTCTTCACACTGTTGTAATTTCCCTTCAGTGTGTTCCCACACTCTTCACACTGTTGTAATTTCCCTTCAGTGTGTTCCCACACTCTTCACACTGTTGTAATTTCCCTTCAGTGTGTTCCCACACTCTTCACACTGTTGTAATTTCCCTTCAGTGTGTTTCTACACTCTTCACACTGTTGTAATTTCCCTTCAGTGTGTTCCCACACTCTTCACACTGTTGTAATTTCCCTTCAGCCTGTTCCCACACTCTTCACACTGTTGTAATTTCCCTTCAGTGTGTTTCTACACTCTTCACACTGTTGTAATTTCCCTTCAGTGTGTTTCTACACTCTTCACACTGTTGTAATTTCCCTTCAGTGTGTTCCCACACTCTTCACACTGTTGTAATTTCCCTTCAGCCTGTTCCCACACTCTTCACACTGTTGTAATTTCCCTTCAGTGTGTTTCTACACTCTTCACACTGTTGTAATTTCCCTTCAGTGTGTTCCCACACTCTTCACACTGTTGTAATTTCCCTTCAGTGTGTTCACACACTGTTGTCCTTGGGTTACCAAACCTGGGCCTCTGCCTTTGTACTGGCTTGTCCTCCTTGGTCACCAAGTCTGTGGAGACATAGCACATACTTCCCACTGCTCAGAGCACCAGGAGAACACAGAAAGAGCTTCACACATAGACATCTGTTGTTACATGAAGTAATCCTGTGGGCCAAGTTTGAGAGAAGCCTGCTCTTTGAGCTTGACCTTTGTGTGTGTGTGTGTGTGTGTGTGTGTGTGTGAGAGAGAGAGAGAGAGAGAGAGAGAGAGGTGGAGGGGCAGAGGAGAACATTGGGTGCCCTGATCTGTCACTCTCTACCTTATCCCTTTGAAACAGGGACTTTCAATGAACCTAGAGATTGACATTTTCGACCTGGCTAGGTGGACAGCAAGAACTAGTGACCCTTTTTCCCATCTGCCCCAGTGCTGGAGTTACAGGCATATGAGGCACCGTTAGGATTTTAAAAAAAATGTTTGTGCTGGCATCTGAACGCAGGTCCCAGGCTTTCCCAGCAAGCCCTTTTATCCACTGTGCCATCTCTCCAGCTCCTACCATGTTTCTCTTTGCTATTTGGTGAACAAATCTCTCCACCTACCAAGCAACAACTCTGTAGCAAGATCTTGACTTTAGGTTTGATCAGTCCCCTGCCTTTATTTGCTAGACGGCCAGCTAGCTTTTATAAAAACCCAGTTTCTTTACCTCCGTAAACCCTGGAGGGCATTTGTGGCAGCCTGGACTTTGGTCATCAAAGGAGAATCAATACTGAGCAGGATGCAATGATAAAGGTCAAGTCACAGAGCCAGATGTGGTACAACGTCCCTGTAATTCTCGCTTTCTGGAGGTTGGGGCAAGAGGATTGCCATGAGTTCTTGACAAGCCTGGGCTACAGAGTGAGATTATTCCTCAAACACCACCTTCGCCAACGCAGATGGGTGCCTTTGACTCCCTTCCTGTGGGGGAACTCAGATGCTTCAGAAAGAGACTGCACCATGCGCTTGAGGAACTCTGGATCGAGACTGGAGCTGTAGACCAGGCACACAATGTCCCTCGCCCACCCAGACACCATCTGTGTCGATGCGGCGCGGTGCTTTCTGGTGGAAGGGTGCCAGAGAAAGAGTCTGTGATGTGGCCAACACATAACTCCTGGGCTGAACTTAAAACTCTGCTACCACAAAAGTCACCCTAACTTCTAGGCCACTGAACGTCTGGCTTCCTCCCTTCTGTACTCTGTTCCGGGTCTGGACAAAGAGCTGTGAGTACACTCTCACAAGTACCTGTGGAGGGCGGAGTGTGAGCATCTTGAGGCATGAGTCTTATTTGTGGTTGGCTTAGCCTAGTTGCTGCCTGAATAGTGTCAACACTATTCCCATGATATGGGTGCTGGTGTCCTTTTGTTCAACTGAAAACACTGAAAAAAGAGGTGACAAGACTGACTCCAAAGGCAAACCTCAGGTGGACGAAGCGGCCACCTGCACTCCTGTCCAGCTGGGTTTTTTTCACATTGTGTACTTTTATGAAATTACAAAAGAATAAGTGAAAGGAAGAGGCAAAGCTGGAGAGGGAGGCTGTGAGTAGTACCACTCTGAGGGGAAAGGCTTCCTCACTGCAAGTGAGGCAATTCTGCTGGGGGGGGGTTGGGGTGAGTGGGTGGGGGTGAGGGGGTGGGAAGAAGGTTTCCTTACTGCAAGTGTTACAGCTCTGTTCAGGTCAGAGGAAGGTTTCCCAAAAGTGTTATAGCTCTGAAGGGAAAGCTACTCTGGCAGATGGGAGCCAAGGAAAAGTCACACTGCACAACAAACCTTACACAGAGATTTATTGGAAGTGAAGAATAATGTAAAAGTATACAACTGTATTGGTGGTCATCGGGTAGAAGAATTGTTGATATTCCTCTGTTTCCTCTTGTATTTTGTACTTTAAGAATTACACAATCTAAGGACTCGTATTTTCCTTCGAGAAAGCAATGTATTCTAAAAAGAAGCGATTTCACCAAAGAAGGCATATGTCATGCGAGACGGGAAGCAGCCCAAGGGAAACTGATGGCTAGCGAGGGAGTTGGTGTACATGTGGGGGCCAGCAGAACAGGAAGGGCAGGACATAGAGTAAACATGTCCCCCAGCGTGTCCTTCTCCTTGCTCAGTTTGCCTTCGTTTCTTTTCTGCTTCTAGCAGCAGTGGATGAAGATTCGTCTTCCTGTAGACATTAAGTCAGCGATGAGGCTCCGGATTCTTCTCCTGACTGTGCCCATCTATGGGGTTGTGGTGTTTCTGCACGTTCTGGGAAACCTCAAGGGTAGACGTGGTAACAGTAATCGTATGACCTCTGTCCACTCCTGGCATATCTGCCATAGCTGACTTAGGGCCCATATTTCAAAGTCGTCCTTCAGAAGGTCAGACGCTGACAACCTGAGTTCAGTTGCTGGAATGTATGCTGGAGAGAACTCTCAAAAGTTGTCCTCTTGCCTCCCCATGTGTGCCATGGCTCACGCATGCCTTCACCCACATGCATACAACACACACACACACATACACACACTACAAAACTAAAAATCAGAGCTATCCTTAAGCAGAGACACCCCAGCGAGACTATACTGGACGCTTCCAATCTAGTGTCCCTTTAAACTCCATCTTCATCTCGAAAGCATTACCAGGTTTGTGGAAAGAGAGCAAAACCTTTCTACACAACACAGAGCACGAGGAGACACATTTTCCATCAGACCTGCTCAGTTTGAATCGTGTAAAGGAAGCATTAACAACCAAGTTTTTCTTTGCACTCATATTTCAAAATCTCTGTGCTTTGGCTGGGTGAGACATCGATGAACAGCACAGTGGTGATGTTAGTCACATCCTGCTGGGCTCTCTGGCAGAAAGAGCTGGGACAGAGCCGGACCCACTGGACTCTCCCTTGGGCTGAGTGGAAAGTGAGGTTTCTACTGGCTTTGGCTCAGTTTTCCCATTCTGCAAGTTGGGTTTTATCAGTATAAACTTGGTCAGGTGGTATATGTTGGGAAGGCACCCCTGGCCTGAGCTTTAGGACCCAGAATCCCAAAGTACTCTGGTGACAGCTGGGAGAAAGGAATGCCTGTCATACAAGGATGCTCTCTTAGAGAGAGACTGATTAGAAGTGGGGGGGGGGGATTTTGAAGGACAGCCTCTGCTATCCTGGATTCTTCCTGGCATGGGGCATCCAAGCTCCAGAAGGGTTTGCTTGGTCTGAAGATCTGAAAGGGTGTCTGATGCCCATCATGAGTAAGTAGACCCTGGCAACCTCTAGCATCTCCATTCCAGGTGAGATCAAAGAAGTCGACCAGTGCTGGGTACAGCCTCCCACAAGGTTTTGTGGGAAAAGGTGCACGAAGATGCACGGATGTTTGAGACCGAACCACACGTGTTGCTGGACGTACTGTGGAAACATCTGCTTGGACGACGAGTGAGTGGCTGGGGTGAGAAGGCGGGGGCATGGGCATGCTTGAGTTCTGCTCCTCGCGCGCTATCCCACCCACTGATCAGAAGTCGCGGGAGACGGCAGCCACCTGAAGTTCAGTCACAGAAACAATCAGATAAAGCAAGAAGCTCCTATCTCTAAATCCTTACCTTCACCAAGAAATCAAGACACTGACGTGGGGTCGGGGTTTGTTTTTCCCACTACTCTCATTCAGTTTCTTTGCTTCCCACATGACGTTGCCCACTAGTTCATACGTCCCTCGTTTGTCTGAAAGACCTGATCACTACTGATTCCTTTTTCTCAGCCAGACCCTAGAAGAGTGTTTGGGGGAAAATCACTTTAATTTTTTTAAAGTTTATTTATTAGTGTACATACACTCAGATAAGCCACCATGGGTGTGGAGAGGTCAGAGGACAGCTTGTGAGAGCTGGTTCCCGTTAACCTTCTAGGTCCTTGGGATTGAACTTGGGTGACCAAGCTGGGTGACATGTGCTCTTATCTGCTGAGTTGATTTCTGAGGACAACTTCTGATGTAACAGAATTCTGTCATTTTCCAGAGCCTCCAAGCTATTGTTTGGATATGGATTTATTTCTAGGGATACTGATGTCTAACGATCTAATTTTTCTCTTTTAGAGAGCCTTTTAAAACACTGATGAAACTCTAGTCTCCATGCAGTCCACCGCTGGTGTGGGTTGCGGTGTGACCGACTGGGAGGAATGCTGCCTTCTTCCCTGTAGGGACGCTCACTCCAGCTGAGAGCCTGTCTGCTCTCTCCTAATGCCTTTGCTCAGAGAAAGTCTGAGCTTTTGCCAAGTAAACGAACATATCAACCTGAGGTTCTGTGGTTCTTACATATTTTGTTTTTTTAAGATGTGCTTCCTTTCTTGCTAGAAAGCCCCACAGTCCTAATGCTTGCTCCCATCCCGTTGTGGACACAGGCACAAGTCTGTCTTCTGTGTATTAATTACTGCAGCGAAAAAGCAGAGGTTAACAAAAATTCCACGGCGATGCTAAGCATGATGGCGCACAATCAGCAGTTTGAGGTGGGGAGATTGCAAGTTCAAGGTTAGCAGCAGCAGCAACAACAACAAGTTCACGTGACTAGCAAATTAAGCTAATTTACATTCATAATACATTTTTCCGAGGGTCATCTGAGATGGGTACCAAGTTCTCCCAGGAGGGGCTTCTCTTTCTCCTATGCCTAGTCTTCCTGCCCTACCGTCTTACCTGGCAACCATGCTCATCTCCCAAGTCATGTGTTCTGGGCTTTGCTGCCTGCGTTGCTTATCTGGACTGTGTCTGGATGTGACTTGACCTGGATGAGAATATTAGAGGACACCTTCCATGCATTCAACCTTATGCCTCTGTCTGGAACAGAGAACAAAGTGTGTGTGTGTGTGTGTGTGTGTGTGTGTACGTGTGTACATGTGTATGTGTGTGCATGTGTGTATGTGCCTGCCCTCTGGAGGGACAACGGCTGTTTCTTCATGATACAAAGAAAGGAACAAAGGGTGAAAAGCACCAGGGAACGGAAGGGAAGGGATGTTCTCAGCTGGGGCTGGGTATTTTGCTTCAGTATCAGGTCCTTTTCCTACCTTTATGCGCCAAGCCAAGACACAAGGGCTGCAAAGGAGAAAAGATGTTGGTTGGTCAATATCAGCAAAAGAGTAATTTGCCACACAGTTGCTGCAGTCTGCAGGAATCATGCAGTGAGATTCCAGCTGATTAACGCAGAAGGCTGGCCCACCAGAATGAATGTGTTCTGATGGAAATGAACTCAGTCGCAAGGCGCTGGGTCTGCCACCTTTTGTATGATGGCTGATTTTTACAGCAGATCTCTTGCAAAGCTATAAGCCCTCTCTTTTGGGGCAAGATTTAGCAGTACATAGATTACTGGGTGCAATTTTTCCCATGGACTGGTATTTTCGGTCACCTTTTCCCACCCTGAGTCCCCGGGTGGGAATTTAGTCCCACAGTCAATTGCCTCGGTTCCCACAGTCTAATCTCGGCTTCATTCCCTGGGAAGAACTTGGAAGTCAGCTTGCTCAGTTATCTTCTTCTTGGCAGGACATTTGGTGAGGAGAGGAGTCCTTCATATGGCTCGCATTCTGGACCTTCAAGATAGGGGTGGCATGTCCCGGCTCGTCTGATTCTTAGTCCTTCTTGATAAGGGGTCTGGTGCCCTAAATTCTCCTATAGCTGACTTGGGAAAATGCTAACCTTAGTTAACCCCAGTTCTACCCTAACAAAAAGCTATTAAATCCCCTTTATATAAATGCATTAAGGACGTGCACCACCAGTTGCTTGGGCTTTGGTTTGGAATTTGTCAGATCATGAATTTTGTACTATGTAACCATAAATCCTCCTTGTCCAACTATGAAGGGTGATATGAAGGATCCAAGAATAAGAATATAAAAATGTAAATTCCAGAAGCAAGAATATACAAATAAAGACATATACAGTTGTAAGGCTAGGATAATGAGAACAGACCATCAACAGCCTTCTCAGCAGCTTGAGGATTAACTATTAACAGTGGGTTACTCTGCTTTACAACCCATAGCTCTATTTACAAGGTCAAAGCATCTCTCTGCAAACTGAGAGCCTAACACCCCGGCTATCCTTGATTAAAGACAGATATGAGCTGAGTTAACTTTTAGGAGATAGATATATGACCTCTGGGTTACACATCTTCCCTGCTATGTGAGACTGGCAGCATCAGAGGGGAGAGCACAGGGCTTCAGTAAACACCACCCGGAAGTACCAAGGAAGACAACAGATTAAGTACAAACACTAGTTTAACTGAAAAACTGTGTTAATGAAGATTGTAAAGTAAGGCATCTAAGTTTTACCTCGAGATTGTAAAAATTTCTTTGTTCAGACCTAATACCTGGTGCCCCAAGTACAAAAAGGTGGGTTCAGAAACTGGCTTTTGCCACAGCCTTACAGAATCCATCTCTGGCTGTGGTCTCAGCTAGCTGATAAGCATTTTGTGCCCCATGGAGATTTTTTTTATTTTATTTATTTATTCCTGGAATCTGGTTTCTGGAATAAAGTTTTCTTCTGGTTTATTAGACTTTGGGGGTGTGTCCCCATCTTTGCATCACACCCCCCCCCCGACCCAACAATAGAAGTAATTTTCAGTCTGATAAGTCCCCCTTTAGCTAGCTCCACTGATGAAAATGCTAGTGCAGATCAAACACCACACATTTTCCTTCAGCAGTTTATCCCGGTTACCATGGCCACCATAAGCAGCCTCTGTGGAGCAAAAGGGAGTACTCAGAGAGCGCAGCGCTGTTGTGTTTCCTCCCCATTTTCTGCGTTTATCGATTACATACTTCTAGCTTAACTGGCCACACTTAGGAATCCAGTTTAACATACACAATTCCCTTCTCCCCTTTTAGAATTTAGAAGCCTCCCAGAAGCTGCCTGGGCATCTTTTCTGGCCACGCCTCCCTAGGGCCATAAATATGTTGAGAGGGCACCTCCTGACTGTTATCTGCTTTTTGTCCCTGAGAAAATTCAAGCTCAGAGAATTGCCTTTGTTCGCGTGTGTGTATAAGCTAGAAACTTTGCAGCAATAGGAGAGAACAAAGAACATGATCTGAGCAGCATGTGTGGGAGCTCATTCAGTCATTTCTCAGACCAGGAATTTTCTTTCTCTTAAAAGTAATATCCCACACAGTGGAATATTTCGTAAGCATAAAAAAGACTGAAATCTTGCCATTTTCAGGAAAGTGAACAGAACTGGAGGAATGGTGTTAAGTGAAACAAACCAGTTCTCTCACATGTGGAAATGAGAAGAAATAGAAGAAGACATCTCAAAAGAGGAAGTGTGACTGGCTGGGAAGAGGGAGGAAGTCAGAAAGGGAAGGAAGGCTAGGGGCAAGGAGGAGCGTGATTGTGACGTGATCGTGACGTCATCTTTACGCATGCGTGGATGGAAGTGTAGCAGTGAGAACCATTTAACACTTATAAATAATTATGGTTACTATGATTCTGTGCAGAGAAGCTGAGGGATGCGTGAGGGGTCGGAAGAAGGTGGGCATGCAGACAGCGCAGCTCCTTAGCCAGCTACAAAGACACATGCACAAGTGTGGTTTGTAAAGCTTGTTGGTTGGCTAAGCTCTCAGCCCTACTGCCTGGCGATGTGGCCAGTTGAGGCGGCGAAGATCGAAGCACTAAATGCCAGCGAGACAGGAGCAGAACTAAGTTTATTTATTTGTTTGTTTGTTTGTTTGTTTGTAGTTCACTGGAAAGGGTGTGTAGAGGTCAGAGGTCAACTTGTAAGGGTGGGTTCTCTTCTTCTACCAGGTGGCTCCTGGGTATTAAACTCAGGTCACTGGGTTTGGTGATTAGTGTCTTTGTCTGCGGAGATCTCTCACCAGTCCATGCATTTCTTAAGGAAGAAATTATTTGGTGTCTTCGGTGGCATCGCAGCAGCCAGTACATCTGCAACCCAGGGGAAAAAGTGTACATGTTTGTACAAAATGGCTGTAGTTCTACAGATCGCGTCATACCCGCCGCCAAGTGTGGAATAAATAAGTTGGAGTGCTTCTGAAAGCATGACTTTGGAAATATGGGGGAAAGCTGAAAGGCAACCAAAACAATGAAAAAAAATGAAGTGTCCATGCAGAAGCAGTCATGGAGGAACTCAAGGACAAAGCAGATTGAGACAGGAAGCAAAGACCAAATGGTGACAGTCGTTTTTCAGAGCTGTGGACTTGTGAAGGGGTTAAAATTGACCAGTCAGAGAGTGACACCGGAAAGATGTTCCAATAGTAAGCCTGGGCCCCCCTCCAGAGCGCCAATTCAGGATAAATACGCATCCTAACTACATGTTTGAGAAGCTCAGAAAGCAGCTGAAAGGTATTTACACACCAGGCAAGGGTGAAACCGGCACACCTGAGCTCCCAGCATCCTCTCCTCAGGATCCTCACATAGCTCAGTGCGCATGCCTCGGAAAACTGCCATCATCCAGCTTCTCCGTAGAGACGCAAAGAGAAAATTAAAGAAATACTTTCGACATTCCAGCGTGTTTAGAGGGGCTGCTGTAGGGTCTGGGTTTTGTTTCACACGCACTACTGGAGTTCCCCAGAACCACACATACCCTGTGGAAGCCATAATCTAAAATGAAATAAATCAAAGCAGTAGGGGGACAGTCTCAGAAGATGGGTATATAGCAGGCAGACACTAGAGGGAGCCAGAGAAGACACAATCATAGTTTCGGTTTGGGTTCATGATTCCCAAGTGGTAAGAGTCTGTTATGGTGAGAAACAGCAGCAGATTTGGCAGTTGGGACAGAAGCTGAGGGCTCACATCTTAAATCACAAGCTTAAACCAGAGAGAAACTAGCAATTGGACAAGTCTTTTAACTCAAGTCCGCCTCCAGTGACTGGCTTCCTCCAAGACAGGCACACCAGCTAGACCTCCCCCAAACAGCCCACCAACCAAGGACAGAGAATGGGGGACAATGCAACCACTACACAGGGATTTATCAAAAGGTGAGCTGTAGATGAATTTCTGGATTGCGAGTATAGCAGAATGAAAATGTTCAACGCTGAAAAGCAAGAACAAAAACTTAAGAAAAAAACAACAGAAGGCAAAATCGAAGAACATGGGAAACTGCCAAAGGTTTGGAGAGAAGAGTTTCCGAGATGGCCGGAT